ATGATACAGGCTACAGATGGATTGACTGCATGCTCAAGGAGGATTGCTATACACCATCATTATAAGGGAAACACTAGTAACTTAGTAAGGGGTTGTCATCAAGAGGAGGCTTCTTCACATCGCTATAGATATTTGTAATACACGAGCTACTACAGCTTCTGGTTCATACTGGATATTGAGACTGGGGTATGCAGACAACTTAGTCATTCTAGTCTAGAGCATATATAATAATAAAGCGAAAAGCGTGCACCAGATCCTAAGTATTATGACGAGAGATAGAATGAGAGAGAAGAGCTTAACATGAGTTCGTCCAAATCGACCATAGTAACATTCACCAAGAGGGCCGAGATTGATGGTTCAAGACTACTGAAACTTCGAAGTAAAAAACTATAATTAGTAAATATGTGGAAGTGGTACAAAATTACAGGCTGACCTGGGACAGGACCAAATATGAAATGAGCTGCTGTGACCAAACAAAAGCAGAATGCAAGGACTTGCTTGTTTGAAAATTAATGGAAAAAGAAAGAATGGGCCAATTTAGAGTAACAAATTTAGCGAACTATTTATAAGGGGTTGACAGAATTGAAATTTCGGAGTGTGAAAGAACGAACACCGAAAATGTTCAAGTACCACATGACACCAAAGTACATACACCGTTTAGAGTGAATGATGAACATGCTCGGCAGAAACACCTGTGACACAGAAGAGTCGAAAATCGACCATGGAATACGCAACGAACTCGCACAGGAAAAGAAAGAGCTGACACAAACCAACGCCTCAATGTACTGACTCTGAGCCAGCTATAGGAATACCACAATGTATGAAACAGGACCAGCTCATAAAAAGGATTGATAAGTTACGTAAAGGGTACTAGGAAAATCACCTGGTATGCACATAGAAAAACTTTCATGAAAAAATCACATCACCTAAAAAAAGAATTGAAGAACTACTTCAACATAGCAGTGGTCGGTTCAGAATAATTACAGGGCTACTCACTGCACATTGTCCGTTTATAAGACACCCGAACAAAATAGGGCAGTATAACGAAGACTTCCGCTCCAGTAAATGCAACAAAGGGACAATGAATGTAATACAGGAGAATAGCATTTAATGACACCCAAATTATGTCTGGGTATTCCCGGTAACCTTCAGCTATTTTTTTTCTGCGGTTCAATGCAGTGTATTCGCTTGATGATAGTCAATATTGCTAATACATTTTCATAAGATAGCTTCCCCATCTTGATTTCGATACAGTCATCTCCTTACTGTCAACGTAGTTTGTGAAATGTGTCCTGATGATAGTTTTTTCCAATTTTTCAACTTGGGGAAAGGTTTTTTGTTAGCGATAATGTAAATTGACTGGAGAAAAATTAAAAATGGTCAAGAAAGGGCTGGTACATAATCCAAATAATCCCTTATTCCCCGAAAATGAACATACAGTAGCGACAACCAGTGGAAAACGTCATTAAAAAAATGTTAAAAAAGAATAGAAATCAAAATTGTTAGTAAAAGTAATTTTTCTCGTTTTGCAGGTTCGAAAACCTGGCACATGCGACTAACGTTTGACAAGCTGCCTGGCGGTTGCAACCTGCACCGTTGCAAGCTGTGTGGGAAAATAGTGACGCACATCCGTAACCACTATCACGTGCACTTCCCGGGCAGGTTCGAGTGCCCCCTCTGCCGAGCCACATACACACGCAGTGACAATCTACGAACCCATTGCAAATTTAAGCATCCGCGTTACAACCCCGACACGAGGAAGTTCGATCAGCCGAAATTCGAGCAGGCCAGCGCGATCGCGAACGACGCGTCGTCGGCCGATTGATTTTGGCTTTACTACTATTTTTACTATAGAGCCATGTGCGAATCGTAGCTGGGGGGGACGCGCTAGCCCAAGGCAGCGCAACGCGTCTAGGTTTCTTAGGTTCTTTCAGGAAAGTCGCACGTGCCGGTGGTAGGCGAGAAAGAGAGTAAGTGCAAGCTTGGGTGGTTTGAGAAAAGGTTCTGACGGTAAGTACAAGCTTTTCCGAAATCACTTTCATTACCGGAGATGGTTTCGCTGTGGCAATGGATGCCCAAATTCAGATAGCAGTGACCTCTTTTGCACAGTAGATTGATAAGGTCAAGAGCGGACAGTATACTACATACTATTGATTCTCAAATTGATCATGCACGATCTAACAAGTCTGGGCAGTAAAATTCAAGTAATACGAATATAGAAAAATTCAATAATACAATAACATACAATACATAGTGGAACCAGTGCTCAAAAACAAAGCATTCATGTTCCAACACCAAACCTTTCAATCCATCATAGGTCTCGTCAGTGGCGCTAGTGCCATCTTGTGGTACTAGTTAGAACCTCAAATGCATTGCTGATCTTGACTATCCTTAAAGGACAAGCTTGGGTAAGTAGTTTTTTTCTATACAGATTCTAGCTCAAAATACCATGCTTTATCTAATGGTGTTTCAAGGTCATTCGAATGTGTCGGCGAGGAAGGTCCTCGGCCATCGGGATGAGATGAGGGTTGAATAATAATTATTGTAAACCATAAAAAAGTACACTAGAACCTGAAACGACATTCTGTATCTGTAGAGTAGGGAAGGTGAGTGTAGGTCCACAGCACTTAGACCACATGTGACCCATTATACATCCTCCCAAGCAGTTGTCCTCCTAGGTCATCGTCCTTTCCAGAAAGGTGGACAGGTCACTGGGTGACATCTCCTTTGTATCGGCAGGTGTAGGCCAAGACTCGCCGAACACACACATTGACGATAACTCCAGGCACTCCTGTTCACACATCCTGCATAGAGGTATGTCCACTAGCCCCATATTATGGAGGTGTTTCCTTAGTTGACTGGTCAGTCAGAAATCCTACTGTTAAGCATAGATTTTTCCTGGTCATCGCCAGACATTTGTTCGGCCCCAGCTTCTCAGAGTCGCCCAGGGTGATCCTGACAAGATTGCATCCTTTAATTCAATCCCATCTCTTTAGGGATTGAGCATGGGTGTACCATTTGGCTAGTTCCGCAATTGTCGTCAGGCCGTAGGTGCCACTGGGTCCTAAAATTCTTAGTCCAGCGGCTTCCTTGGCTAAAGAGTCGGCAATGCGGTTACCTTTACTCCTGTCGTGCCCTTTAACCCACCTCAGGATAATGTTATTATCTACCGAGGTTTGGCTAAATCTTGGTGGCACTCTAGTACTAGCCCTGAGGTAACACGTTGTCTGTTCAAGGCTAATAGGGCTTGTCTGCTGTCGGTGCAGATTGTTATGTTTTTGCCAGAAATTCCTTTCCTGGTTATTTCTTTTGTGGCGATTGAAATACCAGCCAGTTCTGTTTCTGAAACGACATTACANACATTTAGGAATCGAATCCAGGAACATCATAAGAGCTATGTAAACAAGAAAACAAATTCAACGTATTCAAATCATCTTCTAGAAGAAAATCACATCTTTAATGAAGAATTCGAAATTTTGCACATTGAAAATAAAGGTTTCAAACTGAATCATTTAGAAGCAATGGAAATTAATAAACTTAAAAATTCAAATATTCTAATGAATGACCAATTAGATTTGAATAGATCACCATTATTGAACTTGTTTTCTTAAAAACCCATAAAGAATTATTATTGATGTAGATGGTAGGCAATTTGCTTTAGGTAAGCATAATCGAGCAGGTATGTGATGTAGAGATTCAGGTAATTTCTTACAGGTAGTCTCGATTGTGGTTACCTGTAGTATATAAATATGAATGTAAGGATGCTTGGATGTATTAATCATTTGAAAAAGCTAATGTTTTAGCGAAACATGTTATGATTATTTTCAATAAAGTTAGTGGAGATCAAATCGTTTAAGTGTAGTTTGTGAAAATCTTTGATTTATTCTCTACTCCACACTGACGTCATCACCTTCTCCCTCATATACACATACATATTGCATCGTATCACTCTTACACACCTTCCTCGAGTTGGGTGTTCCACCAAGTTGAGCTCGGAGGTCTGAAGTTTTGCAAAATGAAGCACCATATGAAAAAGCATGAGATTTTGAGCTGAAATCTGTATAGTACCTTTACTGAGGTACAGGCGATGACATTTCCCCTAATGAATAGACAGACGACTCGACACCCACAAATATCAATGATAAACGAGGCAAATGAAAGTGTTACATCAAGTTATTCAGAACAAATTTATTTAATATGAATTAAACAAAATTAAATATACCTTAAGATGGCGTATGTTCTTCTATGCAGCGTTAGCTTCTAGCAGGGCCGTGCTGGGCCATCACGACGTACCCCGATGGTTCAGCACGGGCCTGACTATTGAATCTTGTCCGGCGGTCGATGTCAAAGCTTGGCTTCGCAACTGACCACCTTGGGGGAGCCTAGTTTATTTTTGATATTCGAGGATGTAGTTGACTGGAATGTCAAATCTTTTAGTGAAGCAATATCAGGGTCGCGTTTCCAAACCCATCGGCAGAGACCAACACTTGAACTGAGTATCTCGACTCGGTTGGAGATAAGCCCATGTACACTGGTTAACACGTTCAGGAATTGGGATAAATGCTCCGCTAGGCTGCTTGGCGTTTCCCGAAGATTTGAGATATAGACAAGTCAAACGGCTAACAAGTACTAAAAACACACTACAATCAATGAGTTTATAGAATATAATTGGTTTTGAATTATGCTTTTTGAAAAATAATCTTGAAAGTCTGTTTATTACCACCTTTAACCGTATAAATGCGTCCCTGAGCTGAGTAAAAAAACCATTCTCAGAGAAATAAATTAATTCATGGCTGACAAATGTGAAAGTTAGATTGATAACTAAATCAAAGCTATTAATTAATTCATTATAAACAATTTTTTATACCAAATTCTCGAAAAATCGATCTAGGAATCGATAGCAAGTCTCGTCATCTCGTCATCGGATAAGCTACTCTGAAATGGGTAATAACGAACAAGAAGAAATCCGCACATATCATAACCTCGTTTTTTTGTTACAGACATAAAATGCTACAAGGTGTCGCAGCTCTTCCAAAGGGTCGGATCCATGGACGAGAGGAGGAGGTGCGTTCTGTGCGGAAAGATCGTAAGCAATACGCGAAACCATTATTATGTGCATTTTCCCGGACAATATTCGTGTACACACTGTCCCGCCGTGTACACCCGGAGTGACACTCTTCTCTTGCACATGAGGACCAAACATCCGACCGTTGCTTAGCTAGTGTTTCCGCCTTAGGTTAATGGTTCTTATTTTTTTCGAGGATTGTTACCGATAGCATATTAGATCGATTTCCATTCTGCTGTTCCACCAAAACTTTGAGATCTAAATATCAAGCATCCCATTAGAGCGTATTTGCAATTAATTTTTCTGTCATTGAATTGGCCTCTTCTTTATAATGTGAAAAACGCAATCTAAGAACTGTTATGAATAGCAAAATCGTTTTCAATATCACCAGAGGAGACCAGAATATTAGCTAAAAGAGGCAACTTTGCTCTTACACCACCAATGTGGAAGTAGGAACCTGCAATTATCAGTCGTCAAGTCAAAATATTCACTTCAGTTGATTATTCATCTTTGTTTATTGATGGAGAAGTAGAAAAGCAAAGATATTTTTCCCATAAAACTAGAGCTTGTAAATAGCCGTTAATAGATTTTCAAATTGGCAATATTCTCTTAGGCTGAATTCCCCCATTTCTTCAATTCAATTTGGATTAACTGCCTATTCATATTCTGGAATACCCTTGAACTCTTGAATTTTCTATAGGACACCCACCTGCTATTCAAGCAAGCCACTCCTTTCTGCATAAAAATTAGGTTTTCTCCGGATGCTCTATCCTCAGCCTATCTACATGTTCTAGCGCCAAAAAACATACCAAGGAACAAAGGAATGTTCACTTCCAACAGTATCAACGCAATTCCTCTCTAGAACATTACTATTTCTCCTCTGTATGAGTATTTTGGAACATAGCTTTCAGAACTCGAACTCGATGATCATCTAATATAAGTTCAATTCTGGTTTCATCTGAAAATAGAATATTCTGCCAGTTTCCAACTGTCACATATGGCGACGCAAGCGACACCATTTAAGGAGATCCATTTTGTTTCGTCTTGATAGGTTTGAAACCTGTGAGTCTTCTGCTGTATAAACCTCTCTCTCTTTTTGTTTGAATTGAAATTGTTGCATGTGCTTAGCAAATCAAACGAGGTACTTCCCCATTCTATTTCAAAATTTTGAGGGAGTTGAAATGGAGGGCCAACGTTTTCATATCAAATAGTGTAATCTCATGACGTATTTCTATATTTTCGTTATTCAAATTGTCAGTAATGCAAAACATAATATTCATTAACTTTTAACCGTACTCTATATGGATGTTTGTTGACTCATGCTCTTACATTTAAAAGTCACCAGTTCCTGTTTTGAGATATCTTCTAAACTTACTTGAACTATTTCAGGTCATTTAACAAATATTCATGCTTATTTCATTAACTATACCTTATGATTTGATTTCTTGTGGAGATCAAATGGTGAGGTGTAGTTGATGAAAAAAATTCTTGCATTTTTCCTATGCTTTAAAATCAATGTTATAGATGACGTTATGAATTGTGCATTATCATTAAAATCATGCTTCGTTTAAGAGATCCAAACCATACAACTTTTTTTTCTTTTTTGTGATTAGTACATAGATGTTGCAATTAGTTTGTTCATTGAGGTACAGAATTCTGATTCTAGGTCAGAGTTATTAAAAATCCCTTTTTGAATCTTGTGAACGTTTTATGTTTTTTGTTGAAGTGGAGTTGAAGTCGATCTAATATGATGATTACTGATAATTCCTAGATTCTTTACAGATATCTGTAAATATTCAGTAATTTATCTTATTTTCATTATACATACTTATTGATTCATTTTGGATGGCAATACTCCATGTTTTTCAAGGAAATTAATGATATATGAAACTTATAACGCCCTTTCTTGTTAAAACTTTAGTTCAATATTAATAACACTGTGTTTCCTTCAACATGAAAACCCAGTGTAAGTACTATGTTTCTAAACAAAAAGATCAACAACTGATGACACAATTCAATTAATTCAATCAGATGAAGGCGAATTTGGAATTTTCAAAATCAATGCCACTTTGATTATTCAATTCATTCAGCGTGATAGTAGCCCTATGAAAACTACAGTCCGTCATTTCAAATACAACAATTACTTTTTTTTCAATCATTTTATTAAGTATGTGTGTAAGAAAGAGTGAAATTGAAAACCCTGTGATCAAATCTGAAATTAACTCATGTCAAAGAAATGCTCATTCACCTATTGAAATCATGTCAAATCGATGATTTTATGGTCATATTCCAGCTGCTAAACAAATTTTAAACAATCAAAGAAATTCAATTTTCACCACTGAAAATAAGTGTGGCATAGATATTTCCAAAGTCCTCATACTATATACATTGTTTTTTGTTTGAGTATCCAATTTTATTACATCATTTATAGGGGTGGTTTGTTTTCTATTGGATGGGTTAGTTGATTCAACCAATGGCAATGCGTTTCTAATCACGTGACATACTTTCATATATCGACGGGAGAAAGTTCATGAAGGCAGTCCAAATGTCCGACTATTAGAAGATACTTTATTTTTTCAATATGGCCAACTTTCAGATGTACCTGGTGACAGTCTATCAAAGTACATATTTTTTTTACTGTTTGACCTCCATGAGACAAAGTAGTTTATAATATTCTTACAGCACCGAGTTAGCCAAAATACTTCTTTGATTGACAACTTGTTCATTTTATGGAAATTCATGTCCACTGAGGATACACCATAAAAATATCCTTTTGTCTAGTTGTCTTTTGACTAGTTGTTACGGACATTACACCATTTTCATGGTGTAATGACCGAAACTTACACCATTTTCATGGTGTAATCCTCAGTTAGCCAAAATAGTTTTTCCTAAAATTCTGGAGGATTTATAACAATTGAAAGTCTCCTGAAGAAAAAAATTCTACATCCATCTAATGAAGTCTGTTCGGATAATTAACGAACTCAAATGAGTTCAACTTTTGTTACGTTACAGCAAGATGAGGTACCTCTTTATGGTAGCTAGATGACAATTGTCCAAAACGCTGAATCAGAAAACATGGTCCCTCAGAATGACCAATTAGATCACCTATTACGGATTTTTTTAAGGATTCAGAAATCTAAAGTATATGTTACACAACCACATTATATTACCGAGTTCATGGATAGGTGCGACTAACTTGAAGCTATGATATTTATCTTATGTTTGTAGATTCATGAAACGAATATAAAACTGCTTATTGCTTAGGAAGGGCTGATCCGATTACTCAAAATGAAAAAGTTTCGGATGGCGAGTTGAAGCACCTATCTAAAGAGGTGTCACAAGACCCTATGTCCAATGAAAATTAGTAGCGCCATTCAGGCAATGAGTGATGTAACACTACTGTCTTTCTTATCACAAAGAACCAAAAATGCTATGTACCTCATTTCATCCGACCTTGATATGTTGTCCCGTTCACAAGTTTAGAGGGGTGACTATTTATCTCCCTGTATATGATTGAACATCTGAAAGTTTGCCTCATTTCTAAAAGCACTGGAATAAGACTACAAAAACCTCGTTAACGAAACAAACATGATTTCTACTAGTCATATTTAATATGAATTTTAGCCAAAGATCATTTGCCAAAATATATTCAACTAGTCATTTAGAGAAATCATTTTTATTTACTTACAGCATATATTTATAAACCATTTTTTAGATTATAGTGTGTATATATGAATAATTATAATATTGGGTAAAAACTCAATACAATTTTCATCTTTTAGATATATAAGTTTTCATGAAATCGTTCGTGAATTGTAGATAATTTGTGTGCCATATTTTTTATTAGTATAATTTTTTTTACATAGTGCAATCTTAAACATACCTTGAAGAGGGTAGGAATATATCATGAAAGGATATTTGTTGTTTTAGCTGTTCTGATCAATCAGTTCGATTCAGTTTGTCCTAGGTAGATTCCTAACCTTACTTGGTATATATTTACCAATAAATATGTAATCAGGGTACCTTCTATTCGTAATTTTTTAAACTATATTTTGTTGTTCAGTGTAATTGGTTTCTTTTGATTTCTTAAAACAAAAACAAAAATAAATGTTTTTACATTATGCTTTCAGATTATATTTTTTTGACAATCTTATGTAATAACTGTTGATGAAAAAAAATCAATTTATTCTGGATACCAAAGCTCAAGAATTCACACTTTCCATAGAGGGACAAATATATGCTGGTTTCCATAGGTTGTCATAAAGTATCTGGGATAAACATGATTATAAAAAATTCAATTGAAATAAAAAACATTTCAGAAATGTATTCGTTTAAGTGTGCAAGTTTTATCAGGGCTGTAATAAAAGGTGAGTCACATTCTTAAAATTGAAATCATTTAATTCAGAAAGCTTATGGAGCTGCACGATAGACTGCTACAGCTTAAGGGAAGTCCCTCCAACTTATGAGGGGTCAATTCAACAACACCTAAAAAGTGTGTCTGGTTTATGCACATGTTAACATAACCAGAAATATTCTTCATTTGATATTTTACCATAACTGCAAATAATTCTATATAAAGTTGAAGTAAGGCTACTCACACGACCGTTTATCTAAAAACTATCAAATCGTAGGTTTACCTCTTCTAACAGTAGTTTTTTTTAACAGCTACCTGATTTCTAAATTTTTTAGAATAGAGTCATCCAAGAATGTCGCCCTGACCTTAACCCCCTATATTTGGAACTCGGGTAAGGATAAAAAAGTTTGCTTTGTTGTGGCAACCCAGTACTATATCATCTCAATATTTTTTGGGGATGCCTTTTGTAAAGCAGTGACAATTCTTATCTTTACTTTAGATAGATGACTTTGAACAGTAATACCTTTCAATTTTACCAATCAAAGAATTACGTATTACACCTTTGTAAAATCTTTGAATATGAAAAGATGGAAAAGTCCCCCTATATTAAAAAAACACTCAGTTCTCATTGGTAAAATCTGCACTGAGCGCTACATCTAGCGGTTTTTCGTTGAAGCTATATAATGGTGCAAAGATTTGAACTCAAACTAAAGGAGACCAAGATTTGTTCGTTTGTAGTTTACGAGTTCAAAATATCAGCACTTGAATTAATTCAACTCATCCAAGAATAGACGCCGTTTCAATAATTATCCGCTGATTCTACTGACCTACGAACGCGTCACTTGTCAATAATTATGTAAATAGTTTTGCAAACAAACGAATATTTGAAAGGACCAAAGGCCAGCTTGTAAATTTAAATTTTTAAATGCAATGTTTCGAAACCACCACAGAATAGTATGATCTCACATGAACTTATTTACTAATTCTAATGTCTAGAAGGCGTATAAGTTCACTGTGCTTCTATATTCGGTGATGTTTAGTGAAAAGCTCTTTGTAGTTAGGTCATTGTTAGACAATGATTAGGCATAGAAATATATCAATGGTGTTACTACGTCTACGTGAAAAAGACGGCAACTTGGACGCATGACGATATTTATTCATTGCATGGAACTTTGTTTGCATATGTCATCATCGTTTTTTGAAGATATTTGTTCATTTTGTCACGGTTATCGCGGTTGTCACGTGTTTTGCTATACGATAGCATGTCACAATTGTTACACCCGAAGATGTTATTGTATGGCGAAACACGTGTCCCGTTTTTGTAAACTTTCAAGTGGAAATCTCACATTATAATTTTTCTTCTGAATACGTAATATTTCGATTTTGATTCACACTCCATGTTTTTTTTTTTCAAGAATGATTCCATCATTATTACAGGTAAGGTATTTAGCTGAACACTGTAGTACATATATACTTCACAGTCTAGTGAAATCAAGCCATAAAACGTAAGCTAAAATGTTTTCAAATATTGACAAAAAAGTAAACTATCTGCAAAAATTAAAATGTAAAGTTATATTTTATTCAATTGCTATACAACTAAGGAGAAGCAGATACCAAAATTTCAACAATTTTTTCGACACATTTTGCCAACACAGTTATCAGCATCAGGAACTCGATTAATGTATTAGTGTATTACTACTGACGATACTAACGTGGTTAGCGAAACGTATTGGAATAATTCTGGAGTGTGAAAACATTTTCTTTCATATATAATAAGAGTTCACCTTTTTTTTTCAAAATTTTCAAAGGACACTGCCATCCGAATAAATATGTTTTCTTTAAATTTTTTATTCTAATGATTTGAAAATTATTTTTGTAATATGAAATTGATGAATATTCGGTTTTCGAAATCTTTTCAATTGATATAAATATACAGTAGTTCTGGTACGGATTGTTGTCTAAACACAGATACTTTTTGTTTCCCAACGTTTCACTCCAAACTATCATAAATCGAGTACCAATATTTTTTAGTCGCCATCCCAACAAGTAACAATGATCGTTTTTACAGTTACAACCGGTGGATCCAGCCTTTCCTATGTTGAAATGTTCGAACCTTCATCGACGAACATCCTCTTATGGAGGTGCAAGTCGTGCAGCAAAGAAGTCACCAACAGATGGCACCATTTCCATTCTCATACGACGCAACGGTCCTTTTGTCCTTATTGCCCCGCCACCTACAGCCGAATTGACACACTCCGAAGCCACATGCGAACAAAGCACTCCTTTTTTAATAAGCATGTTTTATAATATCAACGCAGCAGGAAAATTTTCAATCAACTGTTTGAATACTAACTTAAGCTGTGGAGCGAAGTCTTATTGGTAACTGAAATGCTCAAATGAAATGAGACTCCCAAAATAAACAGATTTTTACAGACTAATTTCTGATGTTTCACGAAGCCGTGGTATCAAAAGCCAGCTCAGAAATACTATAATGTTTTGAGACACAAACGAGAGTAACCTATAACTATTGAGCTATCGATAAGTAGGTTTTTAATCATCCGTGTTACTTTCGCAAATATCAAAAATGTTATCGAATAAAGTTCTGTCAGCATATCGAATATTTGTGTCCCGAGCTTCCATTAGAAGTTTGAGAATATAAAAAAAATTTTCAAATACAAATGCATTCGGCTTTTTACAATTATTCACCAATAGGGGGTTCTATAAATACCTAGCAGTTTCATAGTTGTTGCATTGAATAAATTTTCAAAATTTCCAACATAATTTCAGTAAAGAAGTTCCACTTAAGTAAATTTCCACTGAAATATTCCGAATGTTTAAAGTACTATATTATGAATTTCATTAATATAAAAATAGGTTTGATACACCACACTTTTATTCGGCCTCCTGTATATTTGTGAATAATTAAATGAAGCTACATGCAGAAGTTTTCTGATAGTTTAACATAAATCATCTCAAAACTTCAGAATGAGCTCAATGTGACACACAATATATAAAATTGAAAATAGTTTATGTATTATATGGTATATAATGTATACACTGTTGAGATATTCTACAGATCATAAATGTATTATAGTCCATGTTCATTAAAGTTATTGAAGAATGTACATGATAAGACTGAACAATCTATAGCAGTTTAACCTTATAGACCGATCTGATGTCATTTTATGAGTATTTGAATGTTGGTATCATGTAAATGTGATTAGATGTCAAATTTGATGTCAGTTTTGACTTTTTGCACTTTTTTTCATAATGCACACTATTATTTACAGTTTGACATTACATTTACTGCAATTTACCAAAATAGTTCCGATATTTTACGAATTCTACTTAAGAAAAATAAGAATCAAGTGACCGCATTCAGCTCAAGCTTTCTGACTTATACTTGTGTATGGAATATAAGTAATTGTTATATTTGGAAAAATATCTCAATAAATAAAATAATTAACTGTGATATTAAAAGATAGTTTCCAAAAATGGTAGTTTTTTTGGTAAAAAGCACTGCAGCCACAAGCACACCCAGAATACCATGTAATAACATCCGTGAAAGACAGTTCAAACAAACATACATACATGCACACACTCAGAAACTATGCAAACCTCAAGACACATGTTTCCAGCTCACTAGCCGTTATCAGCACTGTACAGCCAAGTGCAAGGTTAGGCAACTATTGGTTGCAGAAAAACAAATGCATGGAGTCATCAACAGAAGCCAGCCGCACTTTGTGGTTTCGGTCGGTTCACCTCGGGTTGGAAATATACTGGTGAGTCACCATGAAGCAGTAAGTGATGGGAGTGGATTTGATGTAATCAAAAGAAACCAAGTTTTGCCTTACCAGCATTTGGCTGTCCCATGCTGATGATGGCTAGTGAGCCAGAAACACGTATCAACATGTGTGTGGAAGTTCTGAAGATAAAAAAATCTATTCAAGCCCTATACATTTGAATGCAGTCGAGAATATCTTTGAATATACAAATATATTATGGTGTAGGTTATCACAGATGGTGAAATATGTGAAACTGTTTCATCAGGTGTTTCATCTATCGTGTGATCTTCAAAAGTTGACTTTTTGCCAAGATCTGATTTATTTATTCAATAATTTGTATCCAAACAGACCAATCTGGTCTCTAATTACATGGATAAAATATATACAATATTTAATGTAAAATAATATTAATATCATCATCATAACATGCATTAAATATAATCCCAGCTTATACATACACCATTGTAGGGGATCAAACGAAAACATATATACCTATGGGGCTTCATATTTATAAATATTATCAATTGTTATGATCAAATTATATGGTTTCTACAGTAACATATTCAGATGATTCAGAATGATATGCCAAAAGGTACTTCTATGGTAATGTCCAATCTATGTTAATGAGTGAACCGATATTGTTGGCTAGTCGAAGCATGGCTACAAAGGGACATAGCAGACAAACGAGTACGAGCAGGCACATGAATTGCTATCCAAGATAACATCAATGGTGACTTGATTCTATTATTTATAATATCATAGATAAATAACTTCGTCAAGTTTCCTTTATTTTCTGTAGTTTTTCAACGTCTTTTGGTGTAGAATGATATTCTCAGCTCCAAATTAAATATGCAAACTCGAACTCTGTTACAACTAAGGTATGGAAGATCATTCTGATAGTATTTATATTTGTAAAAGAATATATTCGTCACATTAGAATCCTAATATACGATTTCCTGATTCAACTATATTACGGATATGATTTGTAAAAGAAAAATAAAAGTTATGTTACTCCCAAATCTTCAACTTCCAGTCACCGCTCCAGGAGTTCCCATCCATTTCATATTGGAAAATAATAGGTTCTTTCTGATGAAATGAGGTTTATTTGTGCAGCTCCATGGTTATATGTTACTGTTCCCTGTTTAATGAAGGGTAACAGTTAAAAGTACTTCATTCTCATGAGTAATGGCCACATTTCTTGCTTGTTTGCTTTCATTGATTTGTGACACGGTGCATGGTCTTATTGAAACAGCACTTTCTTTTTCTTCAAATGGGGCCGTTTTTCTGCGATTTCGTCCTTCAAACGCTTTGTAATTGTTGCATCTTTGCACGCTTTGGAGTCAGTTCATCATGTGCAGTCCAATCAGACGACGATCGTTTTGATTCTGGTATGAAATGATAGAGCAATGTTTCATCCGGGTTTTTTTAATGGTGGAACAGCTTCAAACACTGCTCAGAATCATCAATTTGTTACTGTTTTTGGTTGATTGTGAGCTTGCGTGGCACCTACTTTGAACAGAAGCTCGCGCGGCACCCAATTTGAACAGAGCTTTTGCATACCCAAATATTCACCCACAATATGTCCAACATGTTCCTTTAATATCTTCAGAGCTTCAGCTATCTCGATCAACTTCACTTTGCAGTCATACACAGTCTTTGTGGCGTCCACTGCGTGCATTGTCTTCGGTGCTCATTTCACCTCATTTGAACTTAGCAAACTCCTTCTCAACGCATAATTTTCCTGATGCAAAGTCCGAATAATGTTTATCAAGTCAAGCCTTTTGGCTTCAACAATATTTTTTTGTCAAAAAGCAATGCTTTATCAACACACGAAATTCCTTTTTATCCATTTTCTTCAAACTAACAAAAGTTGCTTCACTCACAATGTTTGCACAAACAAATAGTCCAGCTGTGAAATATGTACAGGTGTCTTTTGAAGGTTAGCGCTGACTAAGAATTGTATGGTTTAAATACAAATAGCGCCATCTATGTGTTAGCCTACGAACTTTTCAGCCCATCTAGTACAAAAGATTTGTATAATATCATTATATTGAACGAACGAAAGTCATTTTTGTGGAGGAATCAATAGCTTTTCTTGACTATTTCCCTTTCAATTTTTTTTTAAATTGTGGAATGTGAATAGTACCAGAAAATGTCCATGAAAATTCATTATACTGCTGTAACCAACTACATCTGCAGCAACTTTTGAAGATTTTCAGCAGAATAACTCTGAAAGACTCCTGCGCTATATGGTTATGGAAGAATACATTTTTCCAGAATATTAAAATTGTCAATAACTGCAATACAAAATGTACTGCTCCAGTGTTTAAAATAAGAAGTGAAATCAAATGCCAACTTTGCTTGGCAGCTGATAAGTACAAAAAATTATGCTCAGATATAACAACTAATATGAGTTCTCTGTCATTCCCATAGATGGCATCTATGTTAGGGGAGATGCCAACGATCTCACCTAAATTAATATTTTGTTTCAACCTAATATTTAAAATATTCTCAAACTTGACAAAATCAGAAAAAATTAAACGAGTTATATATTTTTTGGAAAGATGAGTTTTGGGAAAAAAGCTTTTAATTTTCTATTTCTTCAAGTTTCCCACAATTGTTTATATATACAATGGAGAAGTGGAAAGCTTTTTTTCCTAAAAAAAGTTCTTTCTCCTTTTTGGAAAGCATTTTGATACCTATAACCCTTAACCTAATTTCAGTCAAATGATTAACATTACAAGTGAGTTTCATGAGAACATCGAATTATGGAGATGTTCGATATCAGCTTCCCGCTCTTTTGCCCGTTTCTGTTCTTTTTTCCATGCCTCATAATCTTCATCATCTGTTGGAAGCTCGTGTCTACATACGGGACAAGAATTTGTCTGAAATGCCAAAGTTTTCAACACGTTATCATGTTAATTAGACTCCTACCTTAGAAAGCCAGGGCAGTATACAATCTTTATGATATAAATGACCACAAGGTAGTTTTTTAACGGATTCCCCTTTGGGGTGTTCTTTCAAACATATTGGACATTTAGAACCTGAAAATGTAGAAAATAATGATTTTCTTCAGTTGAAATTCAAAATAGTTTATTTGACTACATGATCTTTTCTGGGTTTGGCTTCAGATAGAGAACACGTAGGGATGCAAAACCCTATTGAAACTCTCAAGTGAACCATCTTCCTTGTTCTATTGGTATGCTTCGAATGTCTCCTATTCCAGTGTAACTAAGTTGGTCTACAGTGAAAAGGGGTACAGTATTTGTATAAACTACTGTAGATGGCATCCGAATAAGAGATTTTAGTTTGGTAGGCCTTTTCAGCACTCATAATTGAACTGCTATAAAAAAATCAAGAACTAACCTACCCTCCTGCGTCCGCAAATCAAGAGTCAGTTATTCCAACTAGGCACATTTACCGCTTTCTGGCTCTAGATAAAAAAACGAGTAAGGAAACTGTCGAAATACGCAATATATAGCTTATGAGTTACTCCAGAGTAATATTCCATAGATGGGTTGGGAATGAATGAAACATACAGTACAGTTCTCAGAGTGTTAGTTGTTTGCCTTAGTTGGCGAATACTGAAGAGAAAGATTGAGTGCTTTACGTTCAATTGTCTAAAATGACTCCAACAACAGAACGTCTCTTCGAGAGATAAACCTAGTAATCTTATATTTTCTCCCCTAGTAGTGATGTAATAGTGTTAATTAGCAACTTCTGTGATTTTTCAGTATTCAGTTCGAGCAAGTTTGTGTTGAAGCATACCAGCTTCATCATTGGCTTCTCGAGCAGAGTTTTCAAGGGATCATTATCTTCAACAGATTCAACACTTTTCCCACACCAGAATCTTTAGATTGTTTTGACGCCAAAGGTTCCATTTCTACAATTCTAATTAATTTTTTAGGAAGATAAGGATGGTGCCCTATGCAAATAAAACGCTTTAGTATGGAGATAAATATAGACTTCAATCGATTATATATTTATATTAACAATGAGAGTAGTCTGCACTACATCCCCTGATTCCGTACTAGTTGAGTTTTTTAAGAAGTAAACATAGCAAAGAAAATAAGGTGTAAACTCTGTAGGTAACCCACTTTAAGGTCAATCGTTAAAATAATGGAAAGCCATAACCTAAAATCATTTAGCAAGTTATGGAATGGCAGCTCAGTTAGCAAAACTTCATACCAAAACTCTTAGCATATACTATAGTATTTAGGTATCTAATATTTTGAAGACGATTGATGCCACTTGTTTTTAGAATGTGTGGATGGTTCATGTGTCCACCTTTAATAGTTAATTTAGAAAATTTACCTTCAGAAGTGATCTTTTCAGTAGGAAGCGCTTCAACTGCACTTCTAGATGCTGGAGGAGCTGTTGTTCCTACATTCAATTCATCAAAAACACTGGAATCTCTTAAAAATCTCGCCATTAATAAAAAATGATTTGGCGTTTGGCCTTCAGAAAGCGGTGTCCACCCCATTTCGTTAAAATAATCAGCCATAATTCAATGCAAAATTACTGCAGAAGCAACCTTTATCAAATATTGCGTTTGCTGAAAGTGACTAGACAAAATATTTGTTCATACTTGGATGTTTGACCAATTTTCTCCTGTCAACGTCAATAGTTGACAGGAGTTTTCGTACGGAGGCGCAGCAGTCTAGCTCGAGGCAATGCTGCCAACCCCTGGTTTTTTCACTAACTTTTTGTTTATTTAAAAACATCAAATGACATTTGGTTTTTTTCACATACTTTACGTAGTTTTCAGAACCAGCCGGCCTGGATACTGACGTGATGGAGGGGTCTCTCACTTACATTTGACACGTTCTCTTTACACATATAGGTTACTTTAATGATGGATATTCACTTCACAAAAAGGAGCACACGGCACCCATGTACCTTCTTTGTGGGCTGAAGTTATCGACACGTCCGTCCACTACCACTGCCACCACAGAACTAGTTTTGCTTTTGTTTTGAATCATGCTGGGGTGTTTTCATCGGTAACTTTGGTGCGATTGATGATAGAAGTAGATTCATTTTCGTTTTGTATATACGCGAGAAAATTTATTATTCGTATAGGATGGCTCAATCGTCTAAATTAATCATGGGACGTCAAAAATTGTGACGTCAGTTAAGTTTGATATTCTTATTCTAGATACACTGTCTTGAATGCCTTTGATATTAATTATATTGTTTATATGAAACACATAATCAGGTATATCTCAAGATTGGATGATGTAGAATTGATTTAGTTATCGATTGAAATTGTTTATTTCTGTAAACAACAATCCTGATCGGACGTCGAAACGGTCTTCCAAAATGAGGTCTTCTCTTCTGGTGCCCTTAAAATATAAAAGAAAAGTTATTCATGCGGAGTAAGAACAAGGTGCAGTTTATTGAAATGTACCACTTGAGCAAAAAGAGTGGATTGGCGCCAAGATAAAATAATGAAGCGAAAAATCGAAGTGAAATTAATGAAAATGAGAGAACGAGTGGCAGTAAAAGTAAGAAATTATTCGCAACTGGAAGCTTGCTAGATGTAAAAAAAATTAAAGCAAATTTTCCTGAGTGCTGTTTGAGTCGGAACTTTTCTGCACTTTTCTGCACAACGGTGGGTTATACTTCGAAACCAGCTCTGGGTGCTCCACTCTATTGATTTCAGCGATGTCCTGCACGGATATAATTCAATGTCCACCGTGGTTCCAACCAGGAAAATAGTTATTTTCCTTCAGGCACCTGCTATATTCTTTCGTTTAGGAAGATTGGAAATAGTGAATATTTCGAAGCATTCATTTTCGGAAAACCTAAGAGTTTGAAGTAATTGAAAGTAAATTGAAGTGAAGGAAATGCAAGCAAAATTAATTAATTCATAGCAAGCACTGGTCCCACACACCAGATCAGCAACACTCTTCTTGACGCACATTTCACCTACCAAGTTGTCATCTTTAGGAGATGAAGTAGTTCAGTCTATGTCAAGAAGAGTACTGAACTTCTAGTGTTTGGGAGAGATCCTTACTTAAATTCATATTCGACTCACCGAGACCAGTGCTAGTGATCGGAGGTTTCGTTGTTGTTGTTTTGTTATAAATCGCATTAATTATTCCAGCGTCTAGTCCAGTTTTTTCTTCAATCCAGTCGAGATACTCGGATACATCTGTGTACATGCCTAGAAGCCCTGGAGTCGCACAACGAAATCCAAATGAAACGATTCCTGTCAAAAAGATATACACAAAATAAGAAATTAGGTAAAGTATGTGACAAATACAGCATATAACACAGCATCAGAAACTCCAGATATTATGCACGGTGAACTACAAGTGGCAATCTTAGGACTGTTATTATTCTCTGTTCATAAAGAAGACTTCCTGAATATATAGAAAATAGTTAAACGGATGACACTACCACATCAGTATCCGGTAACATAGTAAAATAGTTATAATTCAACATAAACTCAAGTATACATGCTATGATTTCTTGGTGCGACATGAACCAACTAAAACTGAATGCTAATAAAATAATTAATTGAGGTTTCTCCTCAGGAAAGACACACAATTAATATCCAACTACCTGATACAGCTAAACTTTAGATATGTACTTAGATGAAATTTTGTCTTGGGAGCCTCATATCGACCATGTCTGCGCTTTCCGACCGCGACAGAAAACGGTTGGCCGATAACGACCGCCCTCAAAGATGGCATGTGTATGTTGTGGCCAGAGTGGAGTCCAAAAGTGAGGTGTAGTTTTGCATAAATATCGAAGTAAAAGACGAATTTAAAGGACTGGCGGCCCCCTACGCCAGTTACCAGGCTGGATGTCGACGGATTCGACGAGGTCGTCAGTTCTATAAAAATTTTGAAAAATGTTAAGTGTATGGTTATATGAAAAAACAGAGGATCTCCCGATGAGGAGGCGACTATTATATAATTATTAATTAGTTTTTTCAACAAAAAAGTATGAATAAGTAAATATATGGTGGCAGCATTGCGTAAAGCAAGACCGCTCCACCCAAGACGGAGCTCCTGTTGAATATTAACGGAAGGAGCCTGGTCAAATGCGCCTGAGCAACGGCCATTAAAAGAGAGACCATGTCTGCAGAAAAATGAAGCAGGCTTTATTTGCAGTATGCAAGATTAACATAAATGTTCAACTTATGAGACGGTATATTTTCCGTTGGCGTATTCTCACATGGTTCAAAATTTACTAATGTAAGATACTTCTTTTGGGACAAGACATGTATTACTTTGTAAAAACGATTGATCTGAATAATAATTTACCAAATCATATCAAAATATATTTTATTATCCAAGCTTGAGTGCTTCCTTCACATGTCTTATGTCAATCGTACGCAGTGTTACGAAATCTATGTATCCTGTCACTTTGCTTCAGCAGATCAATTTTTCTTCGAAGTGTGTCGGATTTTTTCACGATTCAGTATTAAACTTTACACATTTTTGAGTAAATAATCAAAATGGATTTCCAAAACCACCTCTTCTGTTTTAATGTTCTGTGCATTAGTCACAGGTCACAGATTGATATCTGTTCGATCGCTCTATGATACTTGATATAAAATCGAAAATGAGAAATGACAATTGAAATGAGCAGAGAATTAAAAATCAGTAAAAAGTTTGCGTATTTTGAATCAATCAGAAAAAAATATTTTGAATAAATCACCCTTGACACCATATCACATTTTACACCGTGCCATTTTGTCTCAGCAAATCAGTTGGACTCAGACTCAAATAACAATCAAAAATTTTTTTCGAAAATCTGACAGGAGATAATAATGTTTTGTTAATTTCATCAACTGCGTAACTCCTTATCTTGAACACGGTATACACTTGATCAAATTGTTGTATTGAAAATAGTTTTCCTTGACAGAACAAAAATGCTGTGTCTGATAATGTGAGGAAAAAGTGTTTTCAATAGATTCACTTCACGCCAGAGTTCCCAAATTTTACTTATCAAATTGTATTACTTGAGGTAGTATAAATGGTTTTTATCTTCAATTATTTATTATACCAACCTAGTAAAACATAATCCCCATCCGAGTTCATTGATTGAAAAGGTCCTCCACTGTCTCCCTAAAATTCAAATAAATAAATAATTTCACTTGTATGTAGATGCCTGTTTTTTGAAGTAACAGATATTAATGAAAACAAAAAAGAAATGTGGAAGGAGTTAAATATGAAAGCATTTCACGAAAGTTGTTAAACTACCATTTCGAAAATGTAAGTATCTCCAGTATTTGATAAAATGTTCATTTCTTTATACGAAGAGCTCTTCAATAAATTTGAGGGGAAAAAAAGAAAATTACTGTTACCAGCTTCAATACCTGACACGTATCTATTCCTCCTTGGATATAACCGGCACAAAATGCATTTTTTATGGCATTTGCATCATTTCCTGTATTTTTTATCATGTTGAAACAATCCGTATCGTTGTAGACCAACAGTCTAGCTTCATGTAGGGTACATGGCATAGCTCCATGGTATTTCAGGACACCCAATCCGGGCACGGTACCAGATTCCGGTTTTTTCTTGAGTTCTGAAAAATGGATTCAATATTATGGTCCTTCGGGCCGGATAGAATTCATTATTAATAAAATAATGTCTGCTGATACTACTTGATGATTGTTTTTCTGCAGCAAGTTATTGTTACTAACTTTGATTATAATGAATCTGTCTTTTTCAGGAAACCAAGAACTGATATGCAATCTAGATAAACAACATGATTTTGTGGTTGATACGTAGATGAGAATATATTATGGAATGAAAATATTGAAACAAAAGCTTTCAACATTATAAAAAAAATTATTATGTACTTTTACTAATAACCCTTTGTGGTTGATATGGTCATTTTGAACTTGTAATGCACTGTTTGGAACCTTTGGTTTAGTAGTGAATATTACTGTAGTTTTATCCCAACACCAAACCATTATTTTAATACCTCGACACGTGTTTCGATCACCAAGTGATCATCTTCAAGTGTGAGAATAAACTTTCTCTTGAAGAACTCAATCTTCCTCTTGAAGATGATCACGGGGTGATTGAAACACGTATCGATGTGTTGAAACTAAGGGTCTAAGGGTTTTGTGTTGGGACAGAACTCCAATAATATTCAAGTCATTTTGAAATAAAAAAATACAAGATTGTGAAAAATGTTTGCTTACCAGACTGTGGTAAACAAATTGGCCGGTATTGGCTAGTGTCGTCCGCTAATATCAGTAGAGCTATGTCGAAGTAGGGTTTCTTCTTCTGATATTCTTCGTGAATAAGTACCTTCTCCACAGTGTAGTCCCTTCGAGTCCGTTCAGTTTCGCAAATATTGTAAGCTCCCAGTTTTACAGTGTAAACTGAAGCCAGGTTCAAATAACCTTTACTGAAAGAACGAAATATGAATTGCAAAAGCCATGCATTGTTTTTCCACAATAACGGACGTTTTTTCGTATTGCCTGTCCCAAACGGTGCATAGGGGAAGGTGGGGGAATCACGGATGTGTATGTTTCACTATGTTAAAAAAAAAGAAAGATATTTCTAGTGATGCTAANATAGAAATATCACATTATTTTTTCTTAATAATGTATCATTTAACAATGTTTTAGGGAGTAACCGCGTGCACCACGCTATTCTAAATTCAAATAAAAATATTGGTTTGTGGTATTGTGTGTGTCGGCTAATAGCGGATGATTTTAGGGGGGTAATCCCGGGCATCCGCAACCACCCCTACACACCATATAATTCATATACTTTATTTTATATTCTTTTCTTTATTGTACATCCTTGTTTTCTGCCCTGTATCTATATAAAATTGTAAATGATGTATTTCAAAATATACTTATATTTAGCTGACTATATTTCAGATGTCACGAAATTATCAAAGAAAGACTGAGACCAAATACAAATTGGAAGACAGAAAAGGCTATTCAGGATGTTAAAAGTAAAACACTTTCATTTGGAAAATCAGCTGCTATTTATTCTATTCCGAAAAGTAGTGTACACGACTATCCCAAGAAAGAAGTTATAAAGGAGCCAAAAACTGGCAGAAAGGCTATATTTTCTGAAGAACAAGAATAAGAGTTGGAGGACTATTATCATAAAATGGAGTAAATTATTTTATGGTTTGACTATATAAATGGTGCCAAAAATAGCATTCAAATTTGCCGGAGTAAATAATCCAAAGCACAATTTTGACAAAACATCTCAAATGGCAAAAAAATGGTTCTATGTTTTTAGGAAAATGCACCCTAATATTTCACTACGTAAACCTTAGTCCACTTCTATCAATGAAATTACGGCTTTTAATGAAACAGAAGTAAAAATGTTCTTCAATAATTTGGAAATTTTATAAACCAAACACTACTTTGATGCCAATCGAATATATAATGTGGACGAGACAGGTATATCCCATGTCCAAAAAGTCAGAAACAAGTCGGTATGGCAACAAGTGCTAGAAGAAGTACTACAACGACAGTTGTCTGCGCTTATAGTGCTTCAAGAGGAAGCGTATGAATGCTTAGTTGTTACGTGGAGTCAATTCTGATATGCTAGCAGCTGTAAGTGATTCAGGTTGGGTCAACGAGAACTTATTTGTAGATTGGTTACACCACTTCATATCTTTTGCTAATCCAACAGATGCAAATGAAGGTGATGGAGAGAAAAACGAGAATTATTGCCCAATTTGTGATGAAAAGTATCAAGATCCACCTAATGAAGACTAGATAAAATGCTACAAATGTAATTACCCCACGTCTTGTGGGGTAATCCCAGACTCCAATGTTTTGTTTTTGTATTAATATTTTATTTTATATGGAACATTTATCTACGTTGACTATGAGAACATGAGATTGATTAGTTATAGTCAACTTTCAGTAATAAATAGCATTCATAACCTTAACTGGTTTTGTTTAATTTCAGTTCTTCCTTAGGTGTTCCCAATTACCCCACTCTCCCCTAACTTCAGGGTAATACTTCTTATTGACCGTACGACCATGTGGCAAAAACTCCTGATACACTTCGCTACGGTAATCGAAGGAAACAGTGAGGAAAGCCTTGAAGTTTGACGCCATTAAACAATTCCTAGTGATGTTCATGTAACAACATAAAAAATAAAAAAATGGATGATCAAATGTAGGTAGTCCAAGAAATTTGAACATTCCCGTTTTTTTTAACAGTCTATATTCATATATCTTACTCTAACAATTGGTCTCGCCATTGAAAAAACAGTGCATTGATTCCCTTTTATTCTTTGATTTGAAGTTCTTCGCGTTTGATGAATATTAAAGTTGTAACAAGCCAACTTATGTTCTCCTAGTATATTCTGGAGACATTCAAGTTTTTTCTAGCGTTTTCAATGAATTGGGAAGAATTATGAGTAACTTCCAAATATTAATTGAAACTAGGTTTTCCATAATTGTTCAATGTTCTTTTTCTTGGTGTCGAATAGACTTGTTGTAAATTGGTTGAGACTTTCGCTGCCAAGATTTTCAGTGTTACGATCTTCGTTTGGGTTTGAAGGCCGTCGTGGTTTGGAACTGTATCCTAACATTTCGCCAGCACGAGTGGCAGGTTTATTCATCCTGATGGTTAACCGATGACTCGTCATTTCTAGTTCGTAAGCTGTATTTATATTGACATAAGTAGCCCGCCTTTCTAATTGATTCGTTGTTATTGACCGAAGTGTTATAACCTGTTACAGTGCAACGCAATGTAACAGGTAAATATAAAACATGTTTGTTGATGGAAAAATAAAAACTCAACTTGATTCAACAGCCTACCTTTCTAGATTTAGGTACTCTTTGAAGCAATGGGCAGCTGTTACAATAGTCCTTGGTCCGATGAGAGCGCCACCACACGATACGGAGTTGTACCTTATTAGGGCAGCGTACCAAGGATATCTGTAATATCCAACGTCATACCCGGCGACGATTCTGTCTTCTTCCAGGCGAAACTCTGTCCCGATCGGTCTCCCACAAACATGATCTGATAAAGAAAGATTGAATGCGATATTAATTTTTTTATCGTTTACAAGTGACGTCAAAAAATGTATTTTGAAAATGTAATGTTTGCACGTATACGTACAAAAATAAGGTGAATATTCAAATTTCGCGGGCTACGTATATTTGATTAGAGATTTTTTTATGTTGGTACAATCGTTTTTAAGGAACATATGTTCACAGTTTCAACTGTTTAACATGTCCACTTGTTGGTGGGAGAAATAAAAATTAGAGGTGTTCGGCGATTTTCTGATACCGAAAAATCAGGATAAAAAAATTGCTTCAAATTCCGTGTGAAAAATACAACTGAGTGCTGAAGAACACTTGAAATTCTGAAAGTGGCATATGATGAGTGTACTCTGAGTACATGTTATCGAAATACACTAACATTGAAACAAATCATCTATTCTCATGTGACACAACAGCCGTTTTCTATGATAGATGGAAAAATAATTTCATTGAAATGTTCAGTAATTATCAGAAGTTACTTGCAGAAGGTGAAATTTTCATGATTGACGAACCATGTTTAGAAGTATTTTTTTAATGAAAGTATTAACTGTGTTCCCATAAATTACAGTATACAACTGCCAAAAACTTGGATTAACTGCGATACAAAGTTTCAAAGCAATGACACCAAAGAACAAGAGCGTGATAGGTTTCCAGAGAAAAACTGAATTGACTAAAAATTTAATCCTGAATGATACAATCAGCAGGTGGTTACTCAACAGGGATTAAGGTGAATTATTGTTAGACTATTTGCAAACGAAGGGGCTTTGAAAGAACACAGTTGATTACAACAGTTAACTTTTATCCCTATCGAAAGACCCATCTGCTGGTTTCATCATTCAGGATTGAAAATGTATTTTGTATATCTTTGAAAACACTATACAACTCAATTCTTCACCTTCGACAGAGAATGCAGCAAAACAACATATCAAAAGTGTTCATTTTCAAATCCAACAATAGGAAAACAATTCTATCAATAATACTGAGAATAAGGTTTGGCAAAAAGCTAAAAAATAACTAATATTACTGGAGTTAATTCCCAACACCGAACCGTTATTTTAACACCTCGACACGTGTTTCGATCACCAAGTGATCATCTTCAAGTTTGATCTACCTCTAATATATATATATTATTGGTCAAACAATATGAATAATTATAACCCCACTTCAAAGTATTGAAGATATGGAATAATATAAAATGACAAAAATGTGAAAAAAAAACATGAAAAGCTGAGCGTCTCCTTGAATGCGACTACACATATATTAAACATAATGTCTCATGCCACGTGTTTAAAATGATGACGTAGGTATCAATGATAACGTTCAGAACCATTATAAACAGTCGAATATTTTTATGAATCGAATGAAATCACAAAACTAACGCTTTTGTTGATTAGTATGTGTTCAAGAATTCTTTGTCATGGACCAAATATCTCTTAGTGGAAACTAGTATTGAAGAGCAAAAATCAATATTAACATCTATTCCAACAATCAATTTTTGAAGTTGAAGCGAGAAAGTAAAGAGTAATTGAAATACCTCAACAAATATTCAGTTAAAAAAGTCTTGAAAAATATCAGTACCGTTTGTTAAAGCTCCTGATGAATTTTTTCTCGAATATATCACCATAATGAATATATACACACGGAAAACTTCCATATTACACTGTCGACCATATTTCAAATATCGCCGGCCTCCAGTTGTTATCAGAAATATTCCTTACATTTGAACTACCATGACGAAAACTCACACGTTTTTTTTTAAATTGTTGCAATAATAATTGTTCCGCTATCTACTGCTTGTTTGCAATTATAATGATTGGAAACCCATCACTGTAAAATGTGATACGAATTCTCCAGAAGCTTTGATTGAGTCAAGAAAAATTGTAATTCTAAATGAACAAAAAATTATTTGATAATATAAAACAAAAAACTCCGCATCAGAAGAGCGGAAAAACATGTTTATCCATTTTTTGTGGGGGGTCAATGTTTCTTATTGTTTTTCGGGTGCTTATCCTTCACAATCTGAAAAATAAACAGCTAAATCAATAGAGTATCTAAATCTAAAGAGCAAACCAAAAAGTCCTCCTCAGATATAATGCACTTGTGCCAGTATTTTTTTCAATCCTCGAAACAGTTCTGATATTGCACTTTTTGGTGCGTTCTTGAGCTTTCTCAGCGATTCCTCAAAAAGCCCTCCTTTCATGGGTCTCTCCAATAGAACAGAAAAAAGTCGCAAGGGTCCAAATCTGGAGAATACGGTGGATGAGGCATAATTACGGTGTTGTTTTTGGCCAAAAATTTATGACGTAGTAAATCCGGAACGGTTTAATTATATATATGGTTTTATTATATATATGTATCCCACTGAAACTTCTACGGGTTTATAGCTGAGTCACCAGTGAAATAATATGTCATTAACTTTCTATCAACCCTTGGTAACCCTTTCGCTATTGCGAAAGCAGCTGTCAAATAAAATTTGGTTTTGCTATTTACTATTAATTTAACTTTATTAATTTTATTTGACTGTGCTATTTACTATTAATTTTACCTCTTAAACAACTACAAACGCTTCAACTCAGTACAAAATACTTTCAGCTTCACTTTTAATCCAGGTAGAGTGGTGTATTACCTTGAATTTTCTTTTTTTTTGATTGAAATCTTAACTCTAGCTAAACAACCCACATTAGGATCACAACAATATATAACTTCTTTGCAAACAGGAAGTGAACTCAGTCAAAATAATATGTGAACTCTCTCTCTCAGTTTCAACTGGTTAGTATATTAAAAAACACTTACGCCTCTTTGGGTGGTTTATGGTTAACCATAAGTTTCATTGGCCAATGTGTCTTCAACACTAACAGTTTTATTTTCTACTTTCCTGTACCCAATACCGGCTTATAATTTCGCTACTGAATTTTCTTAAATTTCGCACCCCACGCTCGAAAACAAAATATCTTCCCTATTCAAGCCACTATCCTCAGCTTTGGAGGCAAAGGGATGACACCCCAGAACCCGTCATCACGGGCTCTTGTGTTCGACCCCCTTCGTGGCTCTCGGAACACCCTCATTAAACTTCTGTATTCTCTCCTTTCAAAAGCCTGGAAAAAAACACGGATTCATCGTCCCCCCATTCCTCAAACCATTTTCTGTCTCAGTCGCCCACGTGCCACGGAGGTCGCTAGAAAAAACCTATTTCGCCGAGTTGACAAAACTTTCAATGCTGGGATATTGATATGACCATATTTACATCTGGAGCTACGTGACAAATATATCTAACCGTGCATCTTTTCAAAACACACCGATGAATATTGTTTATATAAACACTCTCGGTCCCTCGGCCATAATTTTACATTGTATGAGAGACAGATCCTGCGTTTAATAATCTGAATTAAAGAAATCTGTCTCTTCCCAAAGTTAGAATATATATTACCATACATAGTTTTCGCTAGGTATTACAGTGAATCATCGTGATGCAAAAGCCATGAATTGTTTTTCCACAATACTAGACGTTTTCTTCGTATTGCTTCTCACAAGCGGCGCATAAATTCAAGATAATACTCCTTATTGACCAACCATGTGACAAGAACCCCTGATGCACTATTCCACGGTAATCGAAGAAAACAGTGAGCAAACTCTTTTTTTTTTGGTCGAACTTGGCGTGCTATTTTTGGTCTTGGCTCTCCTGTGCTCTTCCATTGGGACAATTGGACTTTGGTTTTGATGTCATAACCATATCAAATCTGGATCGCCGTTGACGTCGTTCAACAATTTCTAAGCGATGCTCAAGCGACAGTGTTTTTTTGGAACGACCTTCGCTGCCACACTTTTCATGCCCACAATTTTTGAAAATAGCATGGCATGAGCCAACCGATATGCCGTAATCCTCAGAAACATCTCCACTAGTGATTCGAGAATTCTTCATAAAGTGAGGATGATGTGTGTGTGTGTGGGTGCGAGTATGTGTGTGTCATTTTCAAAAAGTTATGATTACACTAAGGTCTCAATTGTCGGGTTTTGTGACTTGCCGCCGGGGTCTCAATCTGCCTACTCTCCATGTCAGTCGCTGGTCTCCGAAAGGGTCACAATATGTCTACTCCCAAGCTTATTTCTCGATATTGAAGGAGCATTTGACAATGCACTACCTAAATCTATAGGATCGTCTCTGGCTGAGAAATGTGAAAAATTGACCATAACTGGCTGGATCTATGCCATGCTGGTAAACAGAACTTCTTCTAGGCGAGGCCATCAGGCTCAGGGTCACAAGAAGCTGCCCTCAAGGTGAGGTACTATCTCCCCTTCTGTGCAATCTTATGCAGATGACCTTGTCATCTTGGCAAAGCCCACGTCGAAAAGGATAACTTGTAATATCCTCCAAAGCACGGTGGACGTTGTTCACAGTTGGCACTTGAGGGAGCAGATGTCTGTCGACCCCAGCAAAAGTGTGATAATCCCCTCCACCAGGAGGAGAAAATTGGACGATCTAACGCCACTTTTCCTCATTGTCATTGTCACCTGAAACGCTCACTTGGAACAAGTTTTACACAAAGCCCGACTGTCCTTATGGATATGTCAAAAGAATTTGTGTTGAAACTTGAGGTTCAGGTCCCAAACAAATCCATTGGATTTATGTTATGATTGTCAGACTAATGATCACTTATGGTGCAATTGCTTGGTGGCCGAAGCCCACGGCCCAGGAGAAGGTCTCTGGCTTACAGAGACAGGCTTTTCTGGCCATCAGTGGTGCCATCATTACCACACCGTCAGCGGCCATTGAGATCCTTCTAGATCTACCTCCTCTCCACATTTTTCTGGAGAGAGAGGCTAGATGGACTGCATATAGACTTGTGCATATTGCGAATTGCACAAATTAATTTAATGCAGAGTGTAACAGACTGTTGGTTGACACTGGAAGTGACAGCATTCTGGAAATGACCTCTGACTTCATGCCTCCAACTGATAACTACGATTCAACTGTTAACTACGAACAGCCTAATAAAGTACTGTTTCCGAGTTGAGAGGACTGGAAACTCTGGAAGAAGGAAATATCAAGAGCAGATAGTTGTTGGTTCACAGATGGATTAAAAACACCATCCGGTTCTGGTGCAGGTGTTTTCAGTCGCAGACCCAGGACAGAAATATTAACCTGGCTAGGAACCTATGCAACTGTCAAGTGGAAATTTACGCTATTGAATCGTGTATACGGAGAGATTGGAAGACCCAATCTCATACACAAGTCAATAAAAATATTCTCGGACAGTCAAGAGTGGCGGGGTGAGTGGCGGGGGATCACTGTCTCTCTTTTTTGGGTGTTTGACAGTCCCCCGGTGCAGACCACACGGCACTCACCCAGTAAAGTTATCGGTCAACCACCCAATCCCGCGTCTGCGGGTAACAGGGTTGGCCGGTTTCAAGCTAGATGTGTGGGAGAGGTGTCTCGCAAGAGCCCTCGGCGGTTACTCATCCAACGCTGGAAAGGTAACTTTCCTAACATGAGTGCCCCTCGGGGTAACGTAAGGGTATGCGGTGCAGACCACACGGCGTACACCCAAAAGTTGTTGATGAACCGCCCTATCCCGCACCTACACGGGTAATGGGCGCGACATCTTCGACATATGATGTGTGGTAGAGGATACTCGAAAGAGCCCTCGACGGTTACTCATCAAACGTTGGATAGGGAACTTTCCTAACAAGAGTTCTAGGGGGGAGGTGAGTGTCCGCTCGCGGCTGGAGGCTAGCGAGCCTCATCTCCAACTGGCGTTGACCTCTTAGGGGCAGCGGCTCCACTAGCGGGTAAAGGGATACGGGGATGCGGTAATCCATTCATGGGTGCATTGCAGCCCCATACCGAGGCACTGGACGGCTTATGCTGTTCCGTGATCCTCGCCTGCTTCTGTACGGACCCCGACCGGCCACTTCCGGGACCATATTCCCAACTGATTTGGCATGGTTGGCGGGGGCAGGTGTGCGACGCGAGCAGTCTCTGGCGAAAGAAGAGCTTAGTTAACTTGTACGACGCTGCCGATGATCCTGTCTCTTGGTTAGCCACACTAAGTAGATGTAAGGAGGCAACTCCGGGTTCGGTGAGCGGGAGGAAGCCCTGCGAAATCCTGTTGGTGTGGGATGAGGGGCGGTACCCGCAAGGATTTCCCGAAAATCCACCCCTCCACACCCGATCGCATCCAACGCCAGGGTGCGTCTGGGGGGCCTAACCGGCCCCCAAGGCCCCCCGGTGCGGTCGTAACTATGACTCTCTTAATGGCTCTCTCGACTGTGAGTTCACAGGCTGTGGTCTGGTATTCATATCTCTAGAAGCTTATGAAATACCGCACCAGGGCCTGTGGATTTACAGTCGATGCTTGGGAGTAGGCAGATTGAGACACATACAGAGACCAGCGACGAAACCTGGAGACTAGGCAGATTGAGACCACGGCGTCGAGTCACAAAACCCTTACAGCGTGTCACTATTTGAATAGTAGGCACATTGGAAACTCAGTGTTCTCATAGCTTCTTGAAAATGCCTTCAAAGTCGAAGCCGAAATTTGGAAATACTAAAAACACCAGACACGGTTCAATCCGGACTTCATATTATCAGTAATGATACAATTTCCCAATTAAATTTATCAACTACTCCTTAAACCTCCTAGGGTTGATTGCTCTGTAAAATTTCAATTGAAAAGCCTGTGATGCCCCATTTAAACGGGTTTTCAATTCTTTATTCAACGTCTCTGCGGTGT